CCCTCTCTCTCTCTGATTCCAGGGAGAGGAGGACGGGATAGCGGTTTAGGTAAACCAAATCAATCTGGCACCGGATATATGAAATCCCCCTGATGCACCTCTCGCATGCGTGTGCGGACGAGCTGCCTATGTGCAAGCAAATCCGGATTTCCGCGTGCGTTGGTGGTCCTTTACATGCGCGCGCGAAAGCGCAAACGTGCACGCGCTCGTAAATGTAAACATGCGTGCGATAATGCGTGATTACGCGTGAAGACTCGATTCCGCCTCGGTTGCGCGTGGAATCGGGGTATCCTCTAAAAAATAAAGAATCACAATTTTATAACAAAGGCTCGTTCGATTAATTTGGAATCGATCTTACTCAATCCCTCTGAGTGGATCGTTGACAGGCGACGACCAGACAGCACAAAATATTTATGATAAATATTTGTTATTATTCATTTTTTGAAATGTCATATAAATATTTTATATATATTTTATATAAAGCTTTATTCGAAATATTATTAAAAGATAGACTAAATATTTAATGTAATATTATGATAAATATAAATAAATATTTCTGTTAACTATTTCTTATTTGAATTAAAATGTCTTATTAAGTATTTCCATAGCATTTACTACAAGATTTACAATAAATATTTCATAATATTAATTTCGAAGATGCGAATAAGCATCAAAAATTGGTTAAATTGCTAGTCAACTTAATTAGTGATATTACTGCGGAGGTTTATTAGAGTTAGCGTTTCAAGACCGAAAAATCATTTCGGCGCGCGTTTCTGAGGATTACATACGTAGTACATAAATTTACACAAGAATCATACAAGCATTAAGATGCAGCTAGACCATTTTTAAGGCTTTGATTTCTATAGTTTGTGTTATCACGTATACGGTCTTACAATATATTATATTGAAAAAATTAAATTATTGTAACCTCTTTAATTTACATCTCAATGTTTGATCGCGATAAAGATTAAATTAAATGTATTATCTATGAGATCAGTCAACTTCTATTGTGGATAAGTAAAAACTGGAAAATATATTTGTAATTTGAACATTACTGATATTTTTAATCTAATTAATGTATTTCTTGGGACTGTTTTATTGCTTATTACTAAACAATGATTTAAAAATTAATTATTTATTCGTCTAACGGATTTCAAACAGCTTTTCTGCAGTTTCTGCTGTATCGATAATCTTGCTATTCGACATAAATTGAAAGAACATCTTCAGACAGCTTTGAGAATCTCACCTTCCCAAAAGACTTGTCGACTTCCGTCAGCTTCCGGGGCCCCTTCCGGTCTTTAATCCACCTCTGAATCTCGGTTCACCCC